CCCTGACTTAGATCAGCCAAGAGGTTGTTTCAGGGTTTGATGTGTGAATTAGCCATACCCTGACTTAGATCAGCCAAGAGGTTGTTTCAGGGTTTGATGTGTGAATTAGCCATGCCCTGACTTAGATCAGCCAAGAGGTTGTTTCATGGTTTGATAACAAATTTCAAACCCCAGTGAGGTATTTCTTTAAGGAATTGAAGGGCTCATCTTATTTTCTTGGACATATATATTTTGTTCTAGTTATGACAGAGGTGGCTTTAAAGGAAGTTCTGGTTCTTCAACTGGTTCTGTTCAAAGAGACAAAGTTTATGTACAGAATATCCCCTTGACAATGCAAGAGGTAACATAAATACTACTAGATCAGATAGTTCACTTATAAATCCATGTAACGGCACAAAATTAACCCCCACAAACTCAATAAATGTGAGTGAAATTTTGTTTTTAGTGAGTAAGAAAAAATAAACTAGCTTAGATTTACGAGTACCTGTATGGCCACAGTCCAGAAATTGAAGGACTGAAAAGATTAGAACCTGCATCAAGTAATGTTTGTTATTTGCCACAATTGATCACTAGTCACTTTGAAATTTTTGCTAGTGAGAACAAACTTACTAGCAAGGTATTGCAAGTGGGTTTAAAAGTTAATTTTGTGCCCTGATGCTACCAATAAATAATAATAATAATAATGGGATTTAGAAGAAGTTGATTTTTGCGGAGGGAGGAAAACCGGAGAACCTGAAAAACCCTCGAAGCACAAGAGAGAACCAACAAACAACTCTACTCACATACGACACAGAGCCCGGTGGGACTCAAACCCAGGTCACATTGATGAGAGGCGAGCACTCTCACCACTGTGCCACCCTTGCTTCCCATAACTAATATCCATACCTCCCCCATGGAGGGGGATTGGTATATCAAAGAAGTGTCGGGGGTTTGCAATGTGGGTTCATAATTATAGATATTGTTACTGGTTTCATTTCAGGATAGCGTTGAGACTCTTTTTGGTAAATGTGGACATGTTGTAGAAGTGAAGCTCCTCCCAGCTAAAGATGGAAGGAACACTGTAGCAGGGTGAGAATATTTGATTTATTTTAGCATTTGATAGAATTGTCAGACATTGTCTTCCCTTTCTTCCTTCCTCTTACTCCCTCCCTCCCTCCCTACCTCCATTCCTTCCATCCATCCTCCCTTCCTTCCTTCCTTCCTTCCTTCCTTACATTCTTCCTTCCTTCCTTCCTCCCTTCTTTTTCATTCCTTTTGTCTAATTTTTTTTCCCTTCATTTTTTTATTATACACCATCTTTCTCTTTTTTTACTTTATTTATACTTCATTTACCAGGTTTATCAAATATGCCACAGAAGAAGCTGCAGAAGAAGCCATCAACAAGATGTCAGGCTGCACTTTAGGAGAAGGGCCCCCATTACGCGTCATGTGGCCTAACAGCAAAAGCAGTTCTTCTGGAGGACAGTCAGGTAGGTACACTTCTATTGAGTAGCACAGGTGGAATACCCTGCTAATGCGTTGCCGTTCACTATCATGGTTCCAAAGGTTCAGGCCACTGGTTCAAGCCCTGTGGACACCATATATTATTATTTGAGCTTTTTTCAATGTGTTGTTCTCTCCTATTGATGATTTTCACAGCTGCCATGTTGGATGTTTTTTCAAATAAAAGATTCCTCATTAGTATTTTTTGTTATATAATCCATGGCCGCTGTATCTTTTGRTATTTCATTCTCATGGGATTATGATTGCAAACCAGAAATACGACAAGGGTTTTCTCCGGTTTCTCTGGTTTCCTCCCTCCATAAAAATCAACACGTAAGATCTATTTTTTTTATTTTGCAAGAGCTGGATTTAAAACCTGGACCGACTGTCATGTGTGTTGGAGATTTTTGTAATTTTCATAATTTTCAAGTTAATTGTCAAAAAATATTATTTTCAAAAATGGTACAAAAATAAAATGGTAGAAAATGGCACAACTGGGTTGAAAGTTTGTTTCATATGCAACTGCAAATGTTTAACTGCCAAAATAATTATGAAATAAACAGGGCAAACAGACCTTGAATCCTGCCTGGAGCTCTGAATTTTATAGTTTTTTTAAAAACTATCCAAGTAGAAAAAAACACCTTAATGAAGAAATAGAAAACGCGCATGTGTGCTATGTGCAGTCATAAAGCACGCGGGGGTTGGCAGAACACAAGAGAAGTGTTAGGAGAAGCACAACGCGTAGTGGCRTGGTTCTGGACACTTCTCAAGTGTTTTGCCAATCCCCAAGTGCTTCATAATGGCACACAGCACAGCAAGCAAGTTTTTTATTTCTTTTATGAAATACAAATTACAATAACCGTTATTTTAGATAGGAATGACAATGGAAAGTGCGCACCCGTGCAATGTGCTCTCATAAAGCACACGTTCCAAGCCAATCAGAACGCGACATTCATAACAGTTATTTTATAATATTTTGTAAATAGTTCATGTAATAATATATTCCCTTTCAGATGGAAGACGAGGAGGTGGAGATAGAGGTAATAACCAAGGCTTCAACCAATCAAACTATGATGAAAGCCGAAGACAAGGTCAGAATAGGTCGACAGAGAGTCCTTTTGGAAACTACTCCGATGGACCAACACAACAGACAAGTACATATGGTGATGGACAAGCTGGCAGGAACAATTCTTATTCCCAGAATTCCCAGCCTGGTAACTATGGCAACCAGAATAGTGGACAGGCAAACTTTATGTCTCTTCTAGGGCGAGGTGAGAATAGGAATGTGAACAGTTCCAAGCCACCAGGTGGTCTGCAGAACTATGGAGATAACAGACAACAAAGTAATAGCTATCCACCATTAGCACCTCTGAAGACATCTCCCAATTTTCCGAATACTGTGTCACAGCAAAATGGTTATCAGTATCCGCCACAAACAAATGAAAACAGAGAGATGCCGTCCAGGAAGAGTTATGACCAGGCATCACCAGCACAACAGTACCAACAAGAGATGCCAAGCAACAGCTATCAGCTGCATCAACCAGCACAAGGGTACCATTACCAGGGAGAATCACTAAGCAATGGTTACCAACAGCCAGTACCAGAACAACAGCAGTACTATTTCCAGGAACAACCCCCAACTAATAGTTACCATACACCTCCTGTACCTCAAACACGCCATTTCCAGCAACAACAACCCACCAATAGTTATGAACAACCTCCTGCTCCATCTCAAGGGTACCATTTCCAGGAACAACAACCACCAAACCAAAATTTTCCAGCACCAAATCAAGGATATCCACAGAATAATCAACAGCACAATAGCTGGGGAGATTCACCACAAGAAGGACAGACCATTAATAATGGTCCATTTGGTGGCCCATCCCGAAACCAGTTGTCATGGCAACCAAGGGAAGAACCAAGATCATCTGGAAGAGGTACAGCATTAGTTTCATCCATCCATTCATTCATTTATTTATCCATTCATTCATTGAGGGAAATTTTTTCTTTTTGTGAGCAGACATGACTTGTCATAACTGCAAAGAACCAGGTCACTTTTCCAGGGAATGTCCGAACCCCAGAACACAAGGTAACTTTCCTGCTTACCCATTTTCTAAAACACCCACAAACCCATACAGTTGCATAAGAATCAATTGCCTAGATGTTTGAACACGAATATGCCTTTAAATCTTCCTGATTCCTTTCACCCTTGTCTGTTTTTTTTCTATTTTGTTTGTTTGTTTGTTTATGTTTTTTTTGTCTAGGGATTGATAGAATCATTCCTTCATCCATTTATTTATTTAATTATCTATTCATTCATTGAACAAATTATTTCTTTTTGTGAGCAGATACAACTTGTCATAACTGCAAAGAACCAGGTCACTTTTCAAGGGAATGTCCGAACCCCAGAACACAAGGTAACATTCCTGCTTACCCATGTTCATAATTATGTAACAAGACACATCCAAACATCTAAGTTTTAAGCTTCAATCAATGAAATTTTTAACAAGAAGATATAACTAGCTAAAAACTAGTGTGAGCTGCGTTGATGTTTCTAATGAAAGTAATGATAAAAAGGTAAATTATACACCGTGAAAAGATGAAAAAATGACGTTTTGGACTCTAGTCCTTCATTGGAGTACTCCGATTAAGGACTAGAGTCCGAAATGTCAGTCAATGTCAGTTTTTTAAATTTTTTCACAGTGTACGATTTACCCTTTTATCATTGAAATTTTTAACAGTTGGAGGGAAATAATTATGCATCTCAAAACTAACTTTTCTCTTATGTTGAAAAGGGCTGTCAAAATATTGGCAGCAACCACAAACCTATAAAGTTGCATATGAATCAAATTTGAACAAGAATATGCTTTCAAAACTTTTAGTTTTTCTTTTACCTTTGTCTGTTCTTGTTTGTCGTTGTTGTTTTGTTTTGTTTTTGTTTCTGATTTTGTCTACGAATGGATAGAATTATTCATTCATTCATTGTTAAAAATCATTTTTTGGCTCATTGTTTATTTTCTTGTTTAGGAATGAATAGAATCATCCATTAATCCATTCATTTATACATTCATTCATTGAAAGACTTCTTTTTTTGTTTTGTTTTGTTTCTTTGTTTATTGTTGTTTTTTTTTGTTTTGTTTTTTTTGTTTTTGTTTTTTTTGTTTTTTTGGTCTAGGAATGGATAGAACCATTCCTTCAACCATTCATTGATTCATTTATTTTTTCCATTCATTCATTGAAACAATTCTTTCTTTTTGTGAGCAGACATGACTTGTCATAACTGCAAAGAACCAGGTCACTTTTCCAGGGAATGTCCGAACCCCAGGACACAAGGTAAGTTTCCTGTTATTTATCAATAACAATGCATTGCATGACAATGTGATTCGCTGAAGTTGGGTGGATCAGCAGTCTAATTCCCACCGTGATCAAAGGCAGGGCACTTCTAACTCACAGATCAAACCCTGAAACAACCTCTGGATTGATCTAAGTCAGGGCATGGCTAACTTACAGATAGAACCCTGAAACAACCTCTGGGCTGATCTAAGTCAGGGCACTGCTAACTCACAGATTGAACCCTGGAACAGCCTCTGGGCTGATCTAAGTCAGGGCACTGCTAACTCACNAGATTGAACCCTGGAACAGCCTCTGGGCTGATCTAAGTCAGGGCACTGCTAACTCACAGATTGAACCCTGGAACAGCCTCTGGGCTGATCTAAGTAAGAGCACAGCTAGCTCACAGATTTATTTGAAATCTAGCTTGTCAGATTTTGCAAAAGAAGAAAAAGCAAAATATGTAAAGAAAGTGCTCAAATCAAGGAAGTGACCCAACAAACAAAAACCAACTTCTAAATTCTAACTCGATCTATCGGCTGCCTTATCAATTGGGTAGCAAAACCTGTTAGGTATTAAGCTGTCCAATCACGAGAGGTAAACACAGATGTGATACATAGTCCAGGAGACCTTTGGGTGAAAGGTGAATGCAATATCGCTACACAACCCTCATGTAAAGTTTAAGCGATAGCTAATTAATTTTAATATGAAATTATCAGTTTATTGATCTGGTTTCTCTTGTTCGATAGGTGGTCCGAAGTGTCATAGATGTGGTGAATCGGGTCATTTTGCTAGAGAATGCCCAACCTCAACTGGACCAAGTAAGTTCCACCTTATACAATCTTTTGCTATGACGCTATGACGTATACAGCTTTTTCAAAAAAGGTTGGTGGAATTTTACAGTACAGTACAGCCCTAATGTATTGTACATATACATGCATGTCGTTTGAGTGTATTACATTCACTTCCATCCAAACAGTGAGTGTAGACTGAGGCCCCATCCACACTATGCCAGATAAATTTGAATTCRCAACTTTCACACCGAAACCGAAAAAAAAGTTTTCCGTCCACACATGAAAACGGATAAAATGTTTTTCGTGTCCACACTAGTCCGATCAGAGGCGGCAAAAATGCTTCATTGCACATCTGAGCATGTGCATCGAAGCTGGAATTGAGCCCGCAGTGAATTTTTAGCCTTCCCACCATGCTCCCATGACAATCATGAAGTCATTGTATTCGAAAAATTTCAGATACAAAATGTTCACACTAATATGGCTAGCCAGTGTTTTCAAATTGCTCCACTCTGGATACCATATTCGAAAAAATTCGTTTTCAGTAAAGAATTGTTCCAGATTCGCCCAGACTAGTGTGGACCGAATAAATAAAAATTCAGACTCAAATTTATCTGGCATATTGTGGACGGGACCTGAGAACCACCTGGACCTGCATGTAATTTCTTTGTGCATACCAAGCCTGAAATACAAATTGTTGATGTGAATTCAATTAGCAAACGATCACAAGGATACGGAATTTTCTAGCATATTTTCTTGTGTGCTGACATTATTTACGCATGAATGTGATTCGTTTCAAGCTTGGTAAACAACATATGAGGTGCAACAAATCCTTCGCCAACTTTTTATGAAATAGCTGTATACACGTACAGTATGTAGGGTTTGTGCTACTCCTTGAAATCCTTGAAAAGTCCTTGAATTGAAAACATGTTTTTAAGGGTGCTTAAAAAGCCCTTGAAAATAGGGGAAACGCCAAAACTCCTGGAATACTCCTTGAATTTAATGCAAACTTAATGTTATTTCTAAATTACCTTTTAAGATAAATAACGATTAAAATTGATTGAAGAGTTTCTGGTTGCTTGTTTACTGGTTGCTCGTTTTTTACATGTATCTAGGCTAGTGGCCCCGGCTGAATTAGCTGCACTTTAACATTGAATCACTGTTTAACAAAAAACTTTGTCCTTGAAAATCGAATTTTTGTGCTTGTAAAGTGCTTAAAAAGTCCTTGAATTTTGTAACGAGAATGTAGCACGAACCCTTAGTATGTACATATGTACACCAGATAAATGTCAGAACTAGGCTACATATCAGTTTTCACTGTTATTTCCATCAGGTGGTGATCAGTTGTGTCATAAGTGTGGTGAAGCAGGACATTTTGCTAGGGATTGCACAAGCTCTCCCAGTAGAGGCAGGTTTAAGTTAAATATATGTAATAATAATTATGCTATGCTGCACTGTGCTCTGCTGTGCTGCACTATGTGATGTTTTGGGCTATGTCRTGCTAAGTTATGTTATGTAAATTATAGCAATGTCCTCATTAACATTAAGAGGAAATTTTTTTCAATAATGAGCAATAATGACAAAATGYGCCAAAAACTAGACTTTTGTATGAGTTTTGACTATGAGTTTTTCACTCTCAAAACCTTTCTTAAACAGTTAGAAAGTGATGCAATATGATAAAATGCCTGTTTGAAGCGGTATTTTCAATTGTACAAAGATGTTTAGTTGTATTTGTGTTAGAATGTTGCTTTGTCAGGCTTTTTTATAGAAAATATATGGGAAATAAGCAAATGAAGGCCTAAACCTCATTCTTGAATAAAATTTTTGCTTTGGGTTAACACTTTGATTCCACTTTCATCGGTCATCTTCGCTTCCAAACAAGTTAAACTTTCTGAATAACAAGATTTTAGCCTTGTACAACAGCCTTTCTTCAAGAAAATAGTTTTTGGTGCTCACTGCTTGAATACGAAAAGAATTCTCTCTTAATAAATTGATATTAGTGCAGACTTTTTGTATGGGAAATGCAAAATAGTATCATGGTCATTATCTTTATTGCATTATTTATTCAAGGTGGTGATCAGTTGTGTCACAAGTGTGGTGAAGCAGGACACTTTGCAAGAGAATGCACAAGCTCTCCCAGTAGAGGTAGGTGGAGTTGAATTAATGGGTAGATAAATAAAGGGAAAAGGAATGAATAAAACAAGGCAAAGAAGAAAAGGAAGGAGGAAAAAATATAAAGAAAGAAAGAAAATGGGATAAGTACAGGCCACTGGCCAAGTGACAAGAACGCTTGTCCTTCACAATTGTATCCAGTGTTCAATTCCAGGACTTGGTGTCATGTCAGGGCTTTAGATAGCAACCAGATATGGGACAATGTATGCTCAGAATTGATACTTGTCCAGTCAAATATTTTCTTTTTTTAGACTTAGACTTTTATTTTATTCACACACTTATTTACAATATTCAAATATATAGGAAAGAGATACAAATATACAATTGAATTAAAATAAACCAATTAAATGATTACAATCATGTTTGGGTGTGCGTGGCTGTCGAAATAGTAAAAACTTTCGAGCCAACAGCCACATAAAATAGTAAATTTGCAAGTGCTAGTTGACAAGATAGCAGATCTATTTACAGGTTTAAACAGTCATTTTGATCATTTATGTTAAGCCACAAACCAAGGGGTTATGAAACGTGAGAAGCGCTCTTGCAACTTGCACAAAAAAAAGATTTCACGGGGTATTTTGCATGAGAAATTGTTCCATGTGGACTACAGTTTTGAATGAGTAAGAGTGCATGGCATGATCATAGTGATAAATTCTTTTTGCAGGAGGTGGGTCAAATTGTCACAGATGTGGAGAAGCAGGACACTTTGCCAGGGAATGTACCAATGCTCCATCTAGAGGTAGGAGTAGCGGGAAATAACATAGAAGGATGGGTGGACGATGATGGATGGATGGGACAGGATGGGTGGATTGATAGATCTATAATTGGATATATGGTACAGGATGGGTAGAAGGATGGAGGGATGTGACAAGATGGATGGATGGATGAATGGCAAGGAAAGGATGGATGGATGGATGGTGAGGAAAGAATGGAGAGTCGGGATAGGATGGGTAGAAGGATGGAGGGATGTGACAGGATGGATGGATGGCGACAAAAGGATGGATGGATGGATTATGACGAAAGAAGAGAGATGGAGAGATGGGAAAGGATGGGTAGATGAATGGAGGGGACAGGATGGGTAGAAGGATGGAGGGATGGGACAGGATGGGTAGAAGGATGGAGAGATGGGACAGGATGGGTAGATGAATGGAGGGGACAGGATGGGTAGAAGGATGGAGGGATGGGACAGGATGGGTAGAAGGATGGAGAGATGGGACAGGATGAGTAGAAGGATGGAGAGATGGGACAGGATGGGTAGAAGGATGGAGGGATGGGACAGGATGAGTAGAAGGATGGAGAGATGGGACAGGATGGGTAGAAGGATGGAGGGATGGGACAGGATGGGCAGAAGGATGGAGGTATGAGACAGGATGGGTAGATGGATGGAGAGATGGATGAAAAATGGATGAATGGGGTGGAGAGGATTGGTAGAGGGATGGAGGGGACAGGATTGGTAGGTGGAGGGAGGGGACATATAGATGGAGGATGGATGTTTGAGTGGGTAAGACGGGAGGGATAGATGGTACAGGATGGGAAGTATGTACAGTACAGGCCAGACGTTTTTCAGGGTCTGTACTCAGTAATAACATTAATTTTTTTTACCAAGATAATGCTTGCCATAAGTGTGGTGAAGAGGGACATTTCGCAAGAGAATGCACAGCACTACCCAGCAATAACTGTAAGTTAATATATTATCTATACATCAGTGCATTAAGTGTGGTGTATTTGTAGTGTGCTTTCACCTTCCTCACCCCTGAAGGTGACCAACTACTGTTCACATGGAACCTTTCTCCACTTCGGTCTCGGGTTTGATTCCTGGACTTAGTATCACATGTGAGTAGAATTTGTTTAATCTCTACCTAGATGAGGCCCGTCCACACGTATCTGGAAATTTTTGTACCCGCAAATTTTTTTTTTCGGATACGAAAATGTTCGCGTCCACACGCAGCGTATTCAAATCGTTTTCGAATCGTTTTCACTGTCCACACGTATCCGGAAATTTCATGATCTTGATTTGCGGATACGACCGTCCACACATATCCGTATTCCAGGCGCATTTGAAAATTTTTTACTCTGGAGACCGTTTTCGAAAATTTCCGGATACGGTTACAAAATTTAACAAGTATCAAAAAATTAAGAAGTTAGAAAATAAATCCAAGTTACCCGAGCCCTGACAGAGGTTGTTTCAAGGTTGATAACATGGAAAGCTCAATGCAATCTTACTGCAGTTTCAATATTTTGTGGACTCTGTATTTACAAGATGCACGCTGAAATTTGATTTTTCGCTGCCGTTAATCAAAAACAATCAATCGATACCTTTTTATGTTCTTGACTGGCGGCAGTGAAAAACGATTTCACAACAAGCCGTTGAAATGTCTGAGTTTGCTGAATATTGAAAAGCACAATAAGGTATAACCTGTTTTCCTATCTACAGTGGATCCATCTAGACCAGGCCCTGTTACCTACATCCCTCAAGAGCTCCCTGAAGACATGGACTCATTGTTCGAAGACATGCCGCATACAGGAATCAACTTTGATAAGTACGACAACATCCCAGTGAAAGCCTCAGGGCATCAAGGACAAGACCCTCCRCCCCCTATCAATACATTTGATGAAGTCAACTTTGGCAGCCAGACCAAAGCGAACATTCGTCGTGCTGGTTTTGTCAAACCAACACCTGTGCAGAAGCATGCTTTTCCTATCGCTATGTCAGGGCTGGATCTCATGGCTTGCGCTCAAACTGGGTCTGGTAAAACGGTAAGCTTTTATTAAAATCAACTTCTCGATTTCAAATCAGTGTTTGGGTTTTCAACTAGTTTGAAGCCTAGCTCTCTTGTTTGTCCCATAAATGCTTCCCAGGAACAGGCAGTAGGTCTTTAGAAGATACAAAATAAATGAATCAATGGCAAGTGTTTTTTGGCAGTAATGCTGTAAAATAACGCAAAAAATATACAATGAACTTTGCTCCACTCAAGGCCCACAGCCAGACTAACTTTATTCCCGAGAAAAGTCTTCACTAGTTACCAGTTTTCGGCTGATACATCACAAATGCACTCACCACTCAATTCTGGGGTCAGGTTCAAAATTGCTTCAAAGTTCATTCTTCGAGTTAGCTGTCCCATTACTCAGATAAGCCAAGAGGTTGTTTCAGAGTTTGATCTGTGAGCTAGCCATGCCCTGACTTTGATCAACCCATAGGTTGATTCAGAATTTATTCTGTGAGTTAGCCTTGCCCTGACTTAGATCAGTCCAGAGGTTGTTTCAGGGTTTGATCTGTGAGTTAGCCATGACCTGACTTTGATCAGCCCAGAGGTTGTTTCAGGGTTCAATCTGTGAGAGTTAGCCATGCCCTGACTTAGATCAGCCCAGAGGTTGTTTGAGGGTTCTATCTGTGAGTTAGCCATGCCCTGACTTAGATCAGACCCGAGGTGTTTCAGGGTTCGATAAAATTAATGTGTCATAAAACTATTTCAGGTGGCCTATCTCCTTCCGACCCTCACCAGTATCATCAATGGCGGTATTCCAGCAGCATCCCAGTCTCCGCTGGTCATCTGCATGGCACCCACACGAGAGCTAGTGGTACAGATCTACAAAGAGGCAAAGAAGTTTGCAGATGGTACACCAGTTAAGGTGGCTGTGGCTTATGGTGGCGTGAGTGTCGCATATCAAGCACAACATTTGGAACGTGGCTGCCATTTTCTTGCTGCAACACCTGGAAGACTACAGGACTTTGTGACTAGAGAAAGGGTTAGTATAGGAATGGATGAATGAATGAAGCAAGGAATGAAGAACTAGATAAATGAATGGATGAATGAACGAATGAATGACCAAATCAGTGAATGAATGAACGAATAGACAAATGAGTGCCGGTTTGGATGGATGAATGGATGAATAAATTAATGACAAACTCGGTGAGTAAATGAATAAATGAATGACAAGAACGAGTAAAAAATAACCCAACATATATGAAAAAATGAATGATCTTAATAATTATTGAAAGGGGGAAAAAACAGAAAATATGAATAAATGACAACAAATTGAACAAACGAACGAAAGGGATAAGGAAAGGAGACAATAATCGAATGAACACCTGAATGAATAATAGAAACAATCCCATAGCACATCTTAAATACGCGCGCTGATTGGCTAGATATTACGTATACAAGCGGGTATTTCACGTGGAGTCGCAGGAAAATTCAGGGAACCAACGTTAAATTCTGCGTTAAATCTTAATGTTTTGTCATTCTTTCCCACCAAAACACCAAATATACGCGAAAACTACTTAAAAAGAAATGAAAGAAGAAAAGTAAATAAAAAATATAGGATATATCTCCGAAAATTGGATGAAAATTGAGGACATTTGAAAAGCTGAATCATATGAAAATACGGGAAGCCCGCGCTGGTTTTTTGGTCTACTAAATCAAAAAAATCGTTTAAATAAGTCTATTTTCAAACTTTTTGCCATGGGGTTCAAGTAAAATTTATTGTCCAACTCGGGAATTCCATGTTGACTCAAAAACCGATATCGCACTCATCGCTTCGCGTTTTGTACGATATCGTTCGCGATTAGTGCTATGTCGGTTTTCTCGTGAAATTCAACGTGGAATTACCTCGTCAGCGAATGAATTTTACTATAGAAACCCCAATGAATGATTTRCCGCCCAATCTTTCTTAATCAAGTAAATAGACCTCTTAACCTTCGTATGCAAATTGTCCATATCAGAAAATCTGACAATCCCTTTAGAATTATTCTTTTATGAACACGTTAAAGTATTTACATATAAAAGAAGTAACTCCCAAAATTGGTGCCACATGGTCTAAAATATGCACAAGAAACAAAGGTTAGGAAGTCTATTGCTGAATTCCTTACTAACAGACAGACGTACTAGTTTATGTGTAAACTGAAAATGTATTCTCTACTCATGTCAACACACAGGTTTATCTCGATGGTGTCAAGTACTTGATCCTAGACGAGGCAGATCGCATGTTAGACCTGGGCTTTGGACCCGCCATCCGCAAACTCGTCGAGCAATGCAACATGACGCCTAAAGAACACCGACAAACACTCATGTTCAGCGCAACCTTCCCTAACGAAATCCAACTTCTGGCCGCAGATTTCTTGAAACAGGATTATATCTTCTTAGCTGTAGGCTGTGTCGGTGGAACTAACCTTGATATCGAACAGCATATCCTGCGAGTCAACGGAAATGACAAGAGGAACAAACTGTTTGATATTTTAAGTGAATCTGGTAGGTGTTGTCAATACCTCTCATTTCCATTTTGTTTATTTCACCATCTTCCATTTTCTTCCACTTTCATCCTTGCATTCGTTCTTTTCAATTCTTTTAAAAATAACAGTATTAGAATAGGATCAACCTCTCGATGTTAAACATTTATCATTAATATAGTCATAAACATCACAATCTTGATGCCTCATTATCACCATCATCACCATGATCATCCCTGTGGTCATCATCATTATTATGATCACCATCATGATCATTGCCATCATCATTATTTATTATCATCATCACCATCATTATCATTATCATCACCAGTGGCGATTACAATAGAATATTGAAATATGAAGTAGATGTAGCTGGTCATTTGAAAAAGGATACTCTTATATATGGTCAAGGACACCCTTAAATATGGTCATTTGAAAAAAGGATACTCTTAAATACTGTATGGTCAAGGATACCCTTAAATATGGTCATTTGAAAAAGGATACTCTTAAACATGGTCCTTTGAAAAAAGGATACTCTTAAATATTGTATGGTCAAGGATACCCTTAAATATGATCATTTGAAAAAAGGTTACTCTTAAATACGGTCAAGGACACCCTTGAATGTGGTCATATGAAAAAAGGATACTCTTAAATATGGTCAAGGATACTCTTAAATATGGTCATTTGAATAAAAGGATACTCTTAAATACGGTCATTTGAAAAAAGGATACTCTTAAATATGGTCAAGGATACCCTTAAATATGGTCATTTGAATTAAAGGATACTCTTAAATACGGTCATTTGAAAAAGGATACTCTTAAATATGGTCGAGGATACTCTTAAATACGGTCAAGGATACCCTTGAATATGGTCATTTGAGAGAATTTGATACAATTTCGTTTCCTTCTCAGGGACAGACAGAACATTAGTATTCGTTGAACTCAAGCGTGTGGCTGATTTCCTTGCTTGTTTACTGTCGGAAAACAATTTCCCTACCACCAGCATCAGCAGGTGAGTCAAACATTGTGTACAACGTACCGCATGTCTTCAGAACGTCTTGGTGGTCAAGGGGAACCAATAGAGGGAAACACTATCCCATTTTGCGTATTGGACGACATTGTTAAAGCGTAAACTAAGCCCCCTTCGTGTTTTAAACTTCATTACGGGTGGAATGAGATACTATGGTGGTGCTGTCTCTCACCGTTGTGTACTTAACGCCTGGGGTCGTGCGTTTGATTCTCGACTAAATCTCTCGTGGTATGAGTTTGTTTGACGTGTTGCTTGCTTCGGTGGTAGTGCGCTGGGCTGTAGCGAGGTCTAAGAGGGGGCAACGTACTATTTTCCCGCCAAATCTACAGGAATCCCACATGAATGCCCCCCTCCTCCCACTACGCTATTGACAGTGCGTGTGGATCCAACCTGACGGAAGAGCAACTTATGGGAATTGATTGTGGTAAAGTATATATTTATAGGTTTCTCCACTTGTAGTTACGTTAGCGCAGTAGCATGGATATATGGGGGGAGAGATAAAAAACAAGGACCTGTAAGGGATTGATGAAAAAAGATCGAACTAAAACTTTTTTATTTTCGATTCTCTTTACGCAGTGACCGGTCACAACAAGAACGCGAAGCAGCATTGCGTGACTTCCGTAACGGACGAGCAAATATCTTAGTGGGCACATCAGTAGCAGCACGTGGGCTAGATATCCCGGATGTAAAACACGTCATCAACTACGATCTTCCTCAGGATGTTGACGAATACGTCCATCGTATTGGTAGGACGGGGAGGATCGGGAACAAGGGAAAGGCTACGTCGTTCTTCGAGGACGGACGAGACGAGAAGCTTGCACGAAGTCTGGTGAAAGTTCTAAGTGAGGTGAGTGGGTACAGTAATAAGGGTTACAAAATCGCGCGGGAAAAACGTTTACGGGATGTAGGGTCTCTTGATGTTTGAAATCCTTGAAAAGTCCTTGAATTGAAAACACGTTTTTAAGGGCGCTTAAAAAGCCCTTGAAAATAGGGGAAACGCCAAAACTCCTGGAATACTCCTTGAATTTAATGCAAACTTAATGCTATTTCTATCTTTCCTTTTAAGATAAATAACGATTAAAATTGATTGAAGAGTTTCTGGTTGCTTGTTTACTGGTTGGTTGCGTGTCATGCTCGTTTTTTATCTAAGCTAGTGGCCCCGGCTGAATTAGCTGCACTTTAACATTGAATCAATGTTTAAAACCACGTTCTAATGCAAAAAACTTTGTCCTTGAAAATCGAATTTTTGTGCTTGAAAAGTGCTTAAAAAGTCCTTGAATTTTGTAACGAGAATGTAGCACGAACCCTGTATAGACACTTATGAAAGAACTATTGAATGCTTTGAACAATAGGCGTTCCAAGATGTTCCTGGCTGGTTAGAACAAATAGCTGAAGATGCTATTGGATCAAGCTATGGACCAACAGGAGGACGCTTCACCTCTAAAGATCATCGTCAGGTAACAACAAACAATTTATTCCTTCCTACATGACTGGAAAAATGATAAATGCTTTTGGAGAAGTCTTTTATAATCGTATTTCTAAGTCATTTACTTTGCTCACACGGTTAAAGTCGCTGACGGGTGAATGGAAGGACGGACGTGTAAGTTGGTGTGGCAAGATGGATGAATGGAAGAATGGGTGGTCAGATGATGGATGGTGGTTGAATAGACAAATGGGATGGGTGAATGACGGACAGTGAATGAGTGAACGAAAGGATGAATCTGGTCTGATGGGTGAGTGGATGGAAGGATGGGTGGTCAGTTGATGAATGGGTGAGTAGTCGGTAGCTGAATGAAAAAATAGAATTATAAATTAATGTTAATGAATAAGCAAACGAACTAATGAATAAAGTACAAAGGGGAGAAATAAGAGAGAACGAAGGAATGAAAAAATTGAAGAAGTCAGAGGGGTTTTCCAGCGTCGCATATCATCACTCAGCCGGTAAATCTTTTCATCTTGTACAGGGTAGAGGAAGAGGAAGAAGGAGAGACGACGACCAATACATCAACAACGCCATGTCAAATCTAAACATACAAAACGACCCAATCTCCAACTTTGGGTCTCAACCATACCGTCAAGACAACAACAACACCATACAGGATGGATCTACCAACAACTATCCACCACAGGGATCCCGCCAAGGAGCCCCGCCGCAGGGGGGTGGGGGTAGAGGAACAGGGGATAGTGATGACGATTGGGATTAGTTTAGCTTAGAACTGATAGACATGAATTGATAGTACTCTAATGAGTACAATCCGTTTCGATTCGTTTGCACATGCGCAGTATGCCAGTGTTCCGTCATTGTTAGTCTCTTCTTCCGTTTCAAGTGCTTCGTTTCTAAACAAAAAGCCAAAAAATGCGTAAGATTCTGAAAGCAGAGTCCTTATGCTGTCATTCGTTAGACGTTATCAGAAGGGTGAAAAATTCACACTAAATCAGCGTAAAAACCAAAATGTATAAAAACGTCAAAAGCATCCGAAGACTTTTCAATCTCATTTCCAGAACCTGCGTTGCTGACCATAAGGAACGCAGGCTCGGAAAAATAGATTGAGTATTTGACTTACTCAAGCTACCGTTACACCCTGCAATTTTTTCCGTGTGCAAGATACGTATTTTTTTTATCTTGTGCTGCATTGCTTGTTGAGATGTGTGCATGGTCTCGTAATAACAAGGGCAATTCTGTCTCGCGACTATAATGAAAAATGTTGTAGAAAGTTCAAATATATGAATTATCCCTGCAACATTTTGAATGGCGTGATAGACTGCACTAGTTACAAGTTAAGTCTAAAATTGCGTTGCCATGGCGTTAAAATGTAGACGATCTCAGTACAGCTTTATTTTCTGACATCAGACAGGGTTTCTCAAAATGTGCTGTGAAGACAAAATTTCATGCTTATAAACGTATTTTTTTAAAAACAACAGAAATTTGGAATAGACGCTGTATATTATCCGTCCTGAAGCTGAGAAGAAAACTCGGTCAAATTTTTCTCAACTTTAATGGATAACAGTTATACATGTTACAGTTTGTTAATGTTACTTATTAGCTTGAGTTTTGAGGTAGTTTTTTAATAACTTCCTTAACCAACCAAAACTTCAAAAACGTTCTTCATAGTTAATATAATCAGGAAATTAGTTGGAAAACTAATTTGAAAAAAGGGGGAAAACTTTGTACAGCTATTGTTTAGTAAAAATGCTGTCCGGCCGTTCTCGTTTTTAAAACAAGATGTTTCTAGGAATCTTGACAACGTTTTGATTTCGAAGTAGTGATGAGGAACCACTTGATTGTGATTAACACTTCCATTCCGGGATAACTCTCAGTTATCTTTATTTTTCTCACTGTCTTTCTCTTCTTTCGTTTTTCTTTTTATTCCGATCTTTCAGTTTTGCTTTGTCTTTCGTTTGTTTTCGTCTTACTTGTTTATTTTTTTTTTCTTTCCATTTTCTATTGAGTCCTTTTCTTTGCTTTCCTTTCCTTTTGTTTACTTTACTTTTCTTTTCCAATATGATATGATGTCACTACAATCAAAATTCCTTTGTTGTTAACGCATAAATATATATTTCAAATAGAAAATTTATTTTCGTTATAAGTAATCGAAATCTTTAATTCAAACAGCTAGAAATAGCGAGTTCGAACCAATCAACAAATAAACAAAGGTTAAATGAAAACATTGAGTTCATCAAAGTATTTCAAACTACTCGAAATGAGATTACGAAACCCGCTACATCTATCCGTTCTTGGAGTGCAAATCACGTGACCGAAAGAAAAAAATACATTGAGATAAAATGACAATGAAACAGCCGCCATCTTGATTGCTCTAACAAGAGAAGCTTGAGGCAATAAGCCTGAAGCGAGATGACGTTTTACCCCCGTTTCTAGACCATAATCCTTTTCACACTGCTTTTGTTGTTTAATTATGACTATTGTTCCTGTATTCTCTAAGGAAACAAAAATTTTAATATGAAAGAATTTTAAAAACTATTATGGTATAGAGTCGGGGGTAAAACGTCATCTCGCTTCAGGCTTATTGACATTGCAGCTATGATGTAACATGTACCCCAAACATTGTAGAGATTTATTTTGAAAAATAGTTATTTCATGCTGGTATTGTTTGCGAAATTCGTATTCCTCCAGGAAAACAATCCCTTGAGGGTGCGCATTACCTTAAGGACGCTCTGGGTAGTTTTGGTCTGGCACACCTAGCCACATTGAAACGGCTACAACTTCGTCTTGAATAACTCAATCTGCAAGCACTTTTCACACAATGTCAGCAAAGGATTAAAGGTTTCAAAAATGATAAATTAGTTTAAAGCGGCCTTTTCATTATGACGTAATGATGACATAGAAATAGTTTACCGCTTATTTTCTCGAAAACTAGACCTAAACTTTCAAAGCGACTTGCACCAGTCGATAGTACTCATCAAGGCACCCAACATATTGCAATATGAAAAAAATGTATGAGAGCGTTTTCCAAATATTACGCGATGAATATTTTCATGGACTTTTACTATTATTTCCAGCGTGTCAACTTTATACCCTCAAAATCGGGACTCTGATTTAGTGGATTCAATATTTTTAGTAGCTAGAATATAGGTACGGATATAGACACTGACCTTATTGAGTATGAATCAAATTATGACTTTCCTTCTAACGTTATGGATTTTTTGATATGCAATGAAGGGTTTTCATATTGCAATGAAGGGTTTTAAGGCAGTCAAATAAAAATAAGTACGCTCACAACTATTTTCGCTCACGGCTGCTTGTAGTGATTATTGACGCTTGACTTCCGTGTTCCTTGACTTCCTTGTGGTGTGCTGTTAGTTGTGAGCATACTTATTTTAAAGGAGAATATTTGTAAAGCATACATCTTTTAGCGACTTCCTTTAGAAAATAAACGTTCCATGATTTTTTGATTGCCGCTTTCATTGATATTTTCTATCACTTTTGACAACAAATGGGGTCATTTAGCTTAATATTAAAAAATCCGTAACATTAGAAAGAAAGTCAAAATTTGATTCATACTCAGTAAGAACAGTGTCTATATCCGTGCCTATGCTCTAGCTACTAAAAATATTGAATCCACTAAATCAAAGTCCCGATTTTGAGGGTATAAAGTTGACACGTTGACACTATATTGCTCCTTAAGCCTCTTCTAACGCAAGTACATTGCACCACCAGGTTTGGCTACATTGGTCAGGTGATTATCATCGGATGTAGTAGCACAAGGATCATGGACAGGAAAGCAACTGTCGGTTTTTCCATCAAAAAAAAAGGAAACCATTGTATTGAAATATAAACCCAGTCCGCAGGGTTTTATATCAAGCGCATTTGGAGCGACAGTGGTACAGGTTGGTGTAATGGCCTTGACAACTCTACACGTCATATTTCCTGGCAACCAGTTCACAAGACTTCCGGTTGCCTCTACACAGGCTACCCAGTTAGTGATATTAGGCTTTAGAAGGATCTCATTACCAATCTTCTTCCACAGAGCAAAATCCATAGCCGTGTGAGAAGACTCGCTGAGCGGGGTTGTCGTAGACTGAGGCACACAACCACTAGGGGACCAATTGACAGGCCAGTTTGGTATTGGGGTGACCGCGTTCACAGTTGTTCTAAAGGAACTGTACTGAGTGAATGTATAGCTATAAACAAGGGTCTAGCCTCCTCCATCGGTGTCCATGTCACAGAACACTTCGAATGGCGCAGAGGATGGCTCATTGAACTTCATCCAGTAAACACCTGACTTTACCTGGTGGTTAAGGTTCTTGAACCATTTACAGGATAATATTGTGTTATGAGGAGAAAACCCGAGAGCACATGTCTTGTTCTTCAGGTTCATGTTGATGCTTGCACAATTTATGTTGTCCTCACACTTTCTGTAACATGCAAAGATTGTTTCCACCTTGGACGATTCAAGAGTGAATCCTAGCAAGTACACGTTAAGCTCTGAATGTCCTTGAGTCGGCCACATCGTAGCGTAGGTGACTTTGTGCTTGAGAAGGAACAGTATCAAGACAAACACAAGCTGTGTCTTCATATTGAACATGTTGAATCTGTCAGGTTAAAGATATCAAGTTCAGTCAACTGTAATAACACTTTTCATCGTTTTCAAATTTTTATACAGTCAATTCAAAAAATGTTGTCGTCAACCAACTCAAGTCTACGCGACTGGACCGAAAGGAACTCTGGGTAGCAATCATTGAAGCCGAGTTGTCTCCATAATTTTATCTGACTAGTTATGCCTTGTTTACAGCACGAACCTTCGTAGGTGAGGCGGTAAGTGTTGAAGGAAACGTTTTTTAATGCCTTCATACTTTCGGAATTGTGAACTGAACCATAACTACTTTATTTTTCTTTCCCTAAACCCAAAGACATGCATTTGATGAATGTTTCTCGCCATTATCTTATTTCTAGCGGGAACAATTAATTCAGAACGAATATTTAACYGCTTCAGTGATTTTTACCCATATTCCTTTCGGTCCAGTCGCGTAGGCTTGAGCCGGTCGCGACAACGTTTTTTGAATTGACTGTATACAATCAGGGTTCGTGCTACTCCTTAAGTCCTTGAATTTAATTCACGTTTTCAAGGGCAAAAAAATCGGAAAATCTGAAAGTCGGCCATATGCAACCACCGTGTAAAACCTTGGCATAGCTAGCTGAACATACTCCTTGCAAATTCATTTTTGGGTCCTTGTATACCCTCGTATAGTCCTTGAATATTAAGTGGTTACCTCAGCACGAACCCTGTACAATAGAATAAGAGTCATTTAAGAGCAACTGTCTGTAAAACTCGAGAATCTGCCGACAGTTGCAAAAAGTCTTGCAGTTTCTCTTTATTTCCCCATTAGAACCCCTTTGGTAAACTGCTCTAAAAAATAACATTAAAAAGTTCAACAGCTTTTTTTTCCCAAAGTCGATTTTTTGCCGATTAGGCGGTAGGCCGACTATGGCAGAAGAGGCAAATATTATAGGCATATTTGATTGCCCAATATTTGTATTTGGCCTAGTATTAAGGCATTGTTTTTTCATAGGCAGCTGGAGTTTAACAAACTTTGGATATCCGAAATCGTGTCTTCAAAAAACTGGTAAGAACGATATATTAACCAAAATCTAATTGTGCGTCCATTGTTATGGAGGAAAGAGTAAGTGAAAATGACACGATACGATTCTGTAAAAATTGAGAATTGGGCGACAGTTGCAAAAATTCGAATTTCGTTATGTTTCACCAATAGAAACCTTTTTGTGAAATATTTTCAAAAATAACATCAAACTGTTAAACAGCTTTTCATTCTATTTTTTTAATCGCACGAAGTCGATTTTATGACTATTCTGTCCGACTAATCGAAAAGATCCCTGAAAAATTAAACATATTCGATGGCCTGGTATTAAACGAGGAAGTATTGCCCAATATTAATATTTGGCCTAGTATAAAGCATTGTTTCTGCATTCCAAAACACTAAAAATATTTTTGAAAAAAACTAGTTTGAAAACTTTATAAAAAGCAACGAATGAGAGTGTGCAACTGACAGAACAGCAAAATATACCTGGTTTTCGGAAGCAGAAAAWAACTATGAACTATGTTATTTGAGACCGAAAATAGTTTTTCCTTGTACTATAACCTTGATTATGACTGTGTGAAGATCCTAATCTTGGCCCGTGGTAAAATGTCTTTCCTGGCGAAGTGCCGAAGAAGTATAGTAGTATTTTTTTTCGGGCATTCATCGTCAACGTATTGGCCAAAAGTAGTTTTTAAGAAAACTTTAGAAAACACAAATTAAGTTTACGAAATTATACTAAAGACGGCACGACAATGCATAAATAGTGTTTCTTTTTCTTTTTCTTTATAGTATTATTATTATTCAAAGAAGTCACAATTTATGTTAATMAATACCTTTAAAGAAGTATGATGGAAGTGCCGAACAGTCTTGAGGTCGATAWCCTTCTCTCACAGGAAAGAATGACTGATGAACCAATGTATAGTTCTACTAAATGCGATTTTTGAATTCATAAAAAATTTAAATTAAAAAAAAACATCTCAACAGGAGAATTAAGACATGCATCTCGTTACCGAGGTAATGATGATAAAACAGTTTACACTCTAGAAATGTTTAACCAAATTTAAAACCATAAAAACAACTGGGAAAAGGAATTTTTTTATCAACTTAATGTGAAATTTATTTAAGTCATCTGAGATCAAACACGTCCAGCTTATGTGGGGGAAAACGTTAGCCAATCAGAATCAAGAACATTTGGAAAACTGAGGTGTCACTTTTCAAAGCCTTTGCAATAAGCTTTGGAATAGCAGTGACGCAGTAATTAATGATGAGTTTTATATTTYGTATTGCAATGACTGGCATGTTTTTACTTTTCGCTGGTCAATTTTCACAGGCTTGCGGAAAACACCTCAGTTTTGCGGTGACGTCATAGCCGCCATCTTGGTTGAATGTAACAAAATAATTGTGTCAATGAATTCTTTTATTGTTATGTCAATGTGTGAATGTTGCCCTGTCTTTTGTCACTTCTCACTCCCATGTGAATAATTGAAAACCAGCAAACAAAATTAGACCAGAGATTACACCTTGTGTCATGGCTGCCATCACGTGATATGAACGGCCTCTTTATTAAATCTAGTAGATGTGCGGCAGGTGAGCTAAATGAAGGCCCATTTACAATGGCGATTTTTGTAGCGATTTTTGCTGCGATTTTGGTCATAATCAATAAGAGTAAAGGGTTCACTAGTGTAGGTTAATTACTCCCTATAGCCTCTCTATGACGCCCTTGACATTTTTAGACACT